GCTGTGTCTCTCTCTGTCAAATAAATAAATAAAATCTTAAAAAAAAAAAAAAAAAAGAAGATGGTCCAGTTTCATTCTTATTATACGTTGCCGTCCAGTTTTCCCAACACCATCTGTTGAAGAGACTGCCTTTTCCCCATTGCATATTCTTTCCTGCTTTGTCAAAGATTAATTGATCAGAGGTGCCTTATTTTATTTATTTATCTGATTGAGAGAGAGCAAGAGCCAGGAAGGGTGGGGGAGGGAGGAGAGGGGCAGAGGACGAGGGAGAAGCAGACCCCCCACTGAGCAGGGAGCCCAACATGTGGCTCAATCCTAGGACCCTGAGATCATGACCTGAGACAAAGGCAGATGCTTAACTGGCTGAGCCACCCAGGCGCCCCAATAAATAAAATCTTGAAAAAAAAGATTAATTGACCATATAATCATGGGTTTATTTCTGGGCTTTCTGTTCTGTTCCATTGATCTGTGTCTATTTTTGTGCTAACATCATACTGTTTTGATTACTACAACTTTGTGATACAACTTTAACTCTGGAATTGTGATACCTCCAGTTTTTTTTTTTCCAAGATTGCTTTGGCTATTTGGGGTCTTTTATGTTCCATACCAATTTTAGGATAATTTGTGAAAAATGCTGTTGTTATTCTGATGGGGATTGCATTAAATCTGTAGATTGCTTTGGGTAGTATAGGCATTTGAACAATATTTGTTCTTCCAACCCAGAGCATGGAATGCCTTTCCATTTCTTTGTGTCATCTTCAATTTCTTTCATCAAGGTTTTATAGTTTTCAGAGTACAGATGTTTCATCTCTTTCCCACCCTGACTTCTTTCCCTTTTATCTCAGAGCTGGTAAGGATCAAAGTAGAACTATAGAAGAGACAACCCATATTGGGAAGTACTGATAGGGTAAGGCCCTCCCTCAGCTATTGACTTATTTCTCTTATCACCCCCTACAGAGGTCAAGGGTCTTACCATGAAGTCCAGTCCTTCAATCTCAAAGTCACTGGCCTCTGCCATGGAAGGCAGGCGGGGAATAGAGAGAAGGAAGCCAATCTGAGGAGAGTAAAGAGATAAAACAGGGAGTAAAGTACCAAGTACTGGGCACCTTATCTCCCTGGAGGACACCAGAGTTCTGCATTCCTGCAGTGCTTCCCTCAGGGGCTTAAAGCTACCACAGGGTGTTCATATTCTTTAGGCTTCTCCAGGAGTTTTCTTATCTAGCAGTGTGTCCTTCAAGAGCTTAATATCTCCCATAAAAGATCTCTGGGGGTTACACCCACCCTCCTGCCCTCACCAAAGGGATGTAGATGACACTGCATGAAGGAATACGGGAGTCCAGATTCTCTAGCTCCTTCCGGGCGACCTCAGTGAGGAAACTGGGAAGTCCCATCAGCCTTCGTTTTTCTAGGAGGGTGGAAGACATGTGGGTATCAAAAGTAAGGTTCCTGCCATGTTGGCCCCAGTTATCCCCGGTTGTAGTGGCCACCTACTGATGATGGTACCCCGTCACTGGGTGGGCTCGTGTTTCAGGGCTCAATGGCCCAACTGCACACCCAACACTCACTCTCATCAATGTCAGGATCTATGTTGGGGAGGACTGTGAAGCGATTTTCAGCAAGACTGCCCTCAAAGTCCACCTGAGGAGATAAAAAGTCTAGTTGTTCATCACCCAGAACCGTCCCCAGTCCTGTTCCTCACCTCTCCTTGGGCCCCTATTCTCCCTCATTTCCTGTTTTGACTCTAACCCTCCAAGCATGTCTCTGATGTTCTGCCACCTCCTCTCACCATCCCATTCTTTGGTCACCCAACTGACCTTGATGTCTCCCATCTTCAACACCACATTCCCCAGAGCCCGGTCTTTCTCCATCCTCCAATCCCACCTCTCTCCCCTAGGTCCCCAGGGGCTCTGCCTCTTTCTTCCACTCACCACCTTCCCAATGAGGCTGGCGATATGGTGCAGGTCGTCAGAGAACTCTTGGGCAATGTCCTGAAAGAGCTGGATGGACTGGGGCAGGGAGCGGCAGGCATCCCTCAGACCCAGGGCACTGTACACAGTCTGTAGCAGAAATGGACAGAAGGCGGGCTGAGGCGAGGGGACAGGGAAGGACAGGGGAGAAAACACAGTAAGAAAGAGGATCTCAAAGGCAAAGAAGAAACAGTAAGTGAGGAAATGGCATCTGTAAAACTCTGTGTCAGGCACTCCACTCAACAGTGAGGCCACAAAGAACTAAAATGTGGCCCCTGTCCCAGATGAGCTCATGGTCTAGTGAGAAAGACAGAAACAGACCCAGAAAATTTAAAAATAAAATGGTAGGTGCTTTAATAGAGGAAAGGATTTCATATTGAGGAAGGTTAGCATACAAGGATTTATTTCTTAGCTCTGTCCATGGTGAGAAGTGACAGATACCCCAGTAGTAATAACCATGTCTAGTGTCCAGATCCGGTTTCTAATACTGTTTTCCAAAGAAGGTAACCAGGACTCCTTGGAGAAATGGTTGATTCCAGGGCTGGGGCAAGGAAAATATAAGATGAGCCTGGAGCATCTTGTAGCGGTAGAAACTTATGAAGTGTTCAAAAATGGACTGGGGGCCATGTCAGAAGGGCATTATCAAAAGCCTATCTGAATTTGAAAAGCCAATCTGAAGGCCAAATGGGCATATTAAAAGCCAATCTGAAAAGAACTCTCAAAGATCTAAACTAGAAAAATGTGAGCAAAAATAAACAGCATTGAATTATAACTCATAAAATATTTATGAGATAATTGGCCTATGATTATGTAACATGCTAACATTTTTTTATAAAATGTTAACATTAATGGAAGCTGAGTGAAAAGGTATATGAGAACACCCTGTACAATTTTTGTGGCTTTTCTTTACATCTTAAATTATTTTTTAAAAAAGAAATTAAAAACAACAGAAGGATAAATCTTAAACATTTTTTAAAGAAAATGTTAAAGGTAGAAAGGGGGAAAAGATAGAAACCAGAATTAGTTGCCTATACCTTGTTTGGGAGGTTACATTTTGGAACTGCGTAAATATTTTACATAATTATAAAAGTAAATTAAATCTTAAAAAACCAGGGGCGCCTGGGTGGCTCAGTTGGTTAAGTGACTGCCTTTGGCTCAGGTCATGATCCCAGGGTCCTGGGATTGAGCCCCACATCGGGATCCCTGCTCAGTGGGGAGCCGGCTTCTCCCTCTGCCTGTTCTAACTGCTCCGCCTACCGCTCCCCCTGCTTGGGCTCTCCCTCTCTCTGACAAATAAAATAAATAAAATCTTTAACAAAAAATTAAAAACCAATTCCTAAAAATCAAAAATAGAATGAAACAAATGAACACAAATGTATATTCAGTTAGTGACATAACCACACAGAGAGGAACTATTCCAAGTGACTAAAACACAGTCATTTGGCTGTATCCTTAGTAGGGACAAAAAGAACTTCCCTTCTTCCCCCGAAAAAATCTTATTTTCAGCAATAATATCATTGGTAGTAGTGCTGGTATTGCTATACTAAGATTGTTGTGGATGTAATGTAAGAAAAGAAAATGAGTGATATTCTAATCTTATCATTCCTAGTGTTACTGAGAACCAGAATTTCCACTATAGAAGAAGGAAGGTTGAAGAGAATAGTATAGGAATATACAAGGTAAGAACCCTGTGCTTCTGAATTTAAATTGCTGGTATCAGTACCAATTTGTCATGTATTTTACTTTTTAAAAATTCTAGATATCGGGCGCCTGGGTGGCTCAGTTGGTTAAGCGACTGCCTTCGGCTCAGGTCATGATCCCAGGGTCCTGGGATCGAGTCCCACATCGGGCTCCCGGCTCAGCAGGAAGCCTGCTTCTCCCTCTCCCACTCCCCCTGCTTGTGTTCCTGCTCTCGCTGTCTCTGTCTCTGTCAAATAAATAAATAAAATCTTAAAAAAAAAAAATTCTAGATATGTCTGCAGAAAAGCCTTTAAAGCAATAAGCAAAACATGCTGTGTGTGCATCCTCTAGGATTCAGACTGTGATACAGAAATGCCATTTTTCTCTAAAAGGAACCAGTGCTCTTTGGGAAAGATCTGGTTCTGGGTCAGAACCAAGAGATGTAGGGGCACCTGGCTGGCTCAGTCAGTAGAGCACGCAACTCTTAATCTCAGGGTTGTGAGTTCAAGCCCCACCTTGGGTGTAGAGATTACTTAAAATAAATCCATATAATTTAAAAAAAGAAAGAACCAGGAGATGTAAATGATGTATCTGGTACATCTTCTCAAACGAGAGAGCAGGAGGGGAGCTATCAAGTGCAGACGTCTACTGGGGTCATGTTTAAGGGACTCAGGAGCCAACATGAAGAGGCTCCCATTGGCCACAGATGGAATAATCTGAACATGTAGAAAGATTAAAAATGCAATGGACTGAAACACGTGTAAATCTGAGTTTGTGATGATACTAAAACAACAAAAAATACATTGGCTACCTTGGGGCATGTTAGGGAACTAATAATTTCCTATATGCTGAAGAGCTGGTAAATAAAGGCAGGGGAGAAAATCAAGCAATTTCTACGATATGAAATGCACCACTGAGTAACCAAAAAGCAGATGAGAGGAAGTTTCTCTTTACAGAAACATTCAGACTAATAAATGGAGGAAGAATGACAGAATAACACTACTTTGCAATCCCTAAGGAATTAATGGACTTAGGTATCAAACATCAAAAGCTGCTAACATCACAAAAAGAGAGACAGACGTATCAGGCATTATATTCCTCTGCTTATAAAACAATATTGAAAAAAAAATCAAACTTGGATTTGGTCAATCTTCTAGATCCAACTATTAACAAAAATTCTAGAAGAGAGTAAAACATGTCAAAAACACGTACAGAATGTAATCATCAAAATCCAGGTTAAGGAAAACTCTACTGGACAAACGATCCAATTTCTTCACCAAATAACTTGCAAGGGGAAAAAGAAAACTAAAGATTGAGATAGAGATGGAGGGAGAACAGTGAAATGAAAAAGGAACCCACAAAGGGAACTTCAAGAGACATCATCCCATTGCCATATGTTGAACATATTTGCATCCTAATTAAAATGTATTTTTTTTCCAAGGATTTTATTTATTTGACAGAGAGACACAGAGAGAGAGGGAACACAAGCAGGGGGAGTGGGAGAGGGAGAAGCAGGCCCCCCCACTGAGCAGGGAGCCAGATGTGGGGCTTGATCCCAGGACCCTGGGATCATGACCTGAACCGAAGGCAGACGCCCAACGACTGAGCCACCCAGGCGCCCTACAAAATGTATTTTTTTAAATCATGACATTTAAGAGAGGATTAGAAATGTGAACATCAGATAATTGATGATATTCAAGAATTATGTTAATTGTTAGTAAGATTATGGTATTGTTATTCTTTTTTAAAAGCAATTTTCTTTTAGAAATCATACTGAAATAGTTATAGGTGAAATGATATGATGGCTGGGAATTGCTTCAAACTAATCCAGGAAGGGGAAAGAGGGAGAAGATATACATGAAACAAGATTGGTATGAGTCTAGGTGTTAAAGCTGCATGCTGGGTACATGGGGGTTCATTATATTATTCTAAATTTTTTTGAGTTTCCACAATACAAAGTTGTTGTTGTTAAAGTGTTGGGATAAAGTTGGACGGGTGAGCAGAGTACACAGGGTCTGGATTGCCTGCTGAGAGGCTTAACCTGGACCTCTGGGCTTCTAGAAGGGAGGCCTTACCTTGTATAGAACCTGCCAGTCGCTGGCCTTGGTGTGGGACAGCTTCATGCGTTTCAGAATCAGCTACAGTCAGACAAGGGGACGGCCACTGTTTCCCTTCTCCCACTCTAGTGCCCCCCAAGAAGCCCAATGTCCACTACCGACCCTCAAGCTCCTTCCCCACCTCCCTGCCCCCACCCTGGGCTCACAGGTACATTCTTGATATGACCCAGCAACCGATGCAGCATTTGAGCCATGTCCAGATTCTGAGGTAGGAGGAAAAACTGAATGACATCCAACCGAGCATTTAGCTCTCCCAGGTCCTGAGTTGGACGTGTGAACCACAGCCTAAAAGTGAGGGATGAAGTAGGGGACCAGAAATTACATCTGTGCTCATCATTGTCTTTTTTTTTTTTTTTTAAGATTTTATTTATTTGAGGGTTGTTGGAGTGAAGGGGGATGGGAGGTATGGGGTGCCTGGGTGATGGACATTGGGGAGAGTATGTGCTATGGTGAGCGCTGTGAATTGTGTAAGACTGATGAATCACAGACCTGTACCCCTGAAACAAATAATACATTATATGTTAATTAAAAAATAAAATAAAAATGAAAAAAAAAAAGATTTATTTGAGAGGGAGAGAGAGAGAGCAAGCATGAGAAGGAGGGAGGGTCAGAGGGAGAATCAGATTCCTCACGGAGCAGGGAGCCCAACACGGGGCTTGATCCTGGGACTCTGGGATCATGACCTGAGCTGAAGGCAGACACCTAACTGACTGATCCACCCAGCGCCCCCTCATCACTGTCTTGATCTCAATTTGTGACAGTGTGTGTTTGGAGGGCCCTGGGGATTGTGGTGATATGGATCTGTACTGGCAAGCCCAGTGTCCTATCTGTGTGGGTGTGTTTACACATGTCTACTAAAAATCTCTGCATGTGAGCACGACTGTTTATCATGGTTTTGATGCATGTGACCATGTGTCATTCCATGTGGATATGCGGTGGAGCTTGTCAATATTTAGAGGGAGAGCAGCGTATTGAAGTATTTGTGTGCCAACACTCTAGCTTTCTCTGCGGCTGAGTAGGAGAGGGTGAGTCAGCATGAGTTTAAATGCATTTGGCTGTGAAAGTCCCTTGGGTGTAATAGCACAGACGTTCGTCTTTTCCTGTTCTTCTGTGAAAGTATATAGCCATTCCATGCGGAACGGTACGTCCTCAATTCATGATAATGGTCATCTCTGCAGAGAGAAAAGGATTGGGAAGGGACACTTTAAGAGGCTTCCATAACATTGTCTCTCTTTTCTTTAGACTTTAAGAAATAAATATTTATTTATTTATTTATTTGAGAGAGAGAGGGCACGAACACGGGGAGGGCCAGAGGGACAAGCAGACTCCCTGCTGAGTGGGGAGCCTGATGCAGGGCCTCCATCCCAGGACACTGAGATGATGACCTGAGCCAAAATCAGACGCTGAACCTACTAAGCCACCCAGGCCACCACCCCCCCACCCCACCGTTTTTCAAGTAAGCTCTATGCCCAACGTGGGGCTTGAACTCATGACCCCAAGATCAAAAGTCACATGCTCTACCCACTGAGCCAGCCAGGCACCCCTTTAATAACATTATCTTATTCTTAATTTTGCTGGTGTAAACATAGAAGTTTATATCATCATCATCATCACCATTATTACTTCCACCTTTTGTGTGCCTGAGGTATTTGCTAATAAATTAAATTAGTATACAATAATAAATGTCTCATCTGGGTTTGTCTGATTCTGGGTGTCCCTGTCTTTCTGTGGCTACGGAGAGTGTGCGACTCTGCAAGGACCTGTGAGCCCATGAGTTCTTTTCTGCATTAGAGCGGCCATTAGGCATATGCTATTTTATACAAGAAGCAACCTGTGGAGACGCTGGGGCCCGGGGATGTGTATCTCACACCACAGTAGAGGGCCAGTCACCCTGGGTTAGAGCACCCCAGGCTAGAGTGAAGCGGAGGGCTGAGTGGGATTCGAGGGTGGGTTTTAGGCACCTCTGTTCCTCAGCCACCTGCAGCAAGTGTAGGGCAGACTGTGAATACCTGTCCCCACCTTGGAGAGCTTTGCCAAGCTGCCTATCTTGTAAAATCCTGAGGTTTTTCTGACTCATATACACTAGTGCCAGGAGAAATCTTAGTCAAGCTAAACCTCCTAATTTTACAGCTGAGAAAATGAAGCGCTTAGAGAATAAGCAGCTTGTCCAAAGTCATGGGGCTAGTAAGAAGTATAGCTGGGTCTCGAACTCAGGTCTGCAGACGGCTAGGACAGTGCTCTTCAGAGCAATGTGACATTCAGTCACCTTCCTGGTGCCCCATTCAGCTGGGCCAATTGGGTCCTTAGTTCATAATTCAGGTTATGTTTCCATGCCCTGCTGGAACCTACCTGGGGGATCTGCACTCCTCCCCAACTTTAACTCTGTTCTCTTCTCCACTAAGAATTCCTTCCCTCTCATCCCTTGCTGAGATGAGAGATCTGCACCTGTAGAATGTGGGGGTGATTAAATGATCCCAATTACCTGGAGATGACCTCAGGGATTATCCTAAAAACCTCCAAAAGACACACAGTGCAGGGCAGGTGAGGTGCGGAAAGAATTGTGCACCTGTGGGCTATCAAAGCTTTCAGCTCTGAGTTTGTAGAGACCATGTGACCCATGTGCTTGCATCTGGGTACCGTGCTCACTCACTAGGTGCTACCACATCCAAGGCCATGTGCCAGGCACTGAAGTCACAGGTATGACCACTGTATGGAGCTTGCAGTTATGAGAGCAAGCAGGTTCACTGACCGCTAACTCCAAGCTGATGTGACAGTGCAGCCAGAAAACATAAACAGGCACTAAGCAAACGGGAAGGTGCATGTCAGTCTCCCTAGAGGTGCCTGTGAAGGTTTCACGGAAGGGGTGATAGTGGGCTTGCACCTTGAAGAGGATGTAAGATTCTGACAGGTGAAGAACAAGGGAAAGACTTTCCAGAAGGAACTGCATAAACACAGGCTTGGTGTATTCCCATGACGGAAAGTGGCCCAAACAACTGGAATATAGGGTGGATCCAGTGAGAAAGGACTTAGGCAGGGCTCGAGAAGATAATCATGGAAATTTAAGTTGAGGTGAATGGGAGGGCCTCTGAACACCATACTGCTAAAGATGCTGATCTTCACCCCGGCAGGGAATGGGGAAGCCTCCTGAGGTTTATGTTATTTTGTTTCTACTTAAGGTTTAAAAAAGTGGAGTGACACGCTCAGATATCTATTTTGGAATAACAAGTATTTTGGAACGAAGGACAATTAGAAAAAGAAGAGATTAGAGGCAGAGAGACCACTTTGAAGGTGACTGTGATGCTCCAGGTTGGAAATGATTATAGCCAGAATTAGAGCCGTGGGAAGAGGGAGGGAGATGGCTGAGAAAGGCATCTCAGGGTAGAATCAATAGGCTTTGGTGAATAACTGAATATGAAGGGTGAAGGAGAAGCATCAATCCAAGGTTCAGCACTTGAGAAGTAGTATTGCCAGCAATGCCATTAGCCAGAAAAAAAAGGTGCAGGAAGAGGAACGGGCCCAGTGGGCATCAGTTTAGATGCTCTGAGTTTGAACTATGTGGAAATTGCAAGTGGGGATGATGTGCAGTGTGCATTCTACATATGGAATTTGGAACTAGAGACACAATTTTGAAAGTCATCAGAGAATAGCTCAAATTTAGGGGTGCCTGGATGGCTCAGCCGGTTGAGTGTCTGCCTTCAGCTCGGGTCATGATCTCGGGGTCCCAGGATTGAGTCCCACATCCGGCTCCCAGCTTGGCAGGGAGTCTGCTTCTCCCTTTCTCACTCTCCCTCTGCTCTCCTTCTATCTGTCTCTCTCAAATAAATAAATAAAAATCTAAAAAAAAAAAAATAGCTCAAATTTGAAGTATGGTTTTTATAATTAAAGATAGTACTGTGTGGGGTGCCTGGCTGGCTTGGTCGGTAGAGCATGTGACTTTTGATCTTGGGATAGTGAGTTGGAGCCCCATGTTGGGGGGTATATTGTACTTAAAATAAAAAAAATCTTTTAGGGGCACCTGGGTGTCTCATTCGGTTGAGCATCTGACTTCGGCTCAGGTCATGATCTCAGGGTCTTCGGATCGAGCCCCACGTTGGTCTCCCTGCTCAGCGAGGAGTTTGCTTGTCCCTCTCCCTCTGCCCCTTCTCTCTCTCTCTTAAATAAATAAAATCTTTAAAAAAAAATCTTTGGGGCACCTGGGTGGCTCAGTTATTAAGCGTTTGCCTTCGGCTCAGGTCATGATCCCAGGGTCGTGGGATCGAGCCCCGCATCAGGCTCCCTGCTCCGCAGGAAGC